AGCGAGGTGTGCTCTGATTGGCCAGCTATCCAGTGCGTTGTGATTGGTCGAATACCTCAAGCGTGTGACGGAAATATTATGACCCTTACCATATTGTGATGCCATGTCCCAGAGAGATGAGACAAAACCAATAAAACCCATTACAAACGAGGCATTTGTTGCATCCAGTGAGGACATAATTACAGATTATAATGACTTATACTGGCTTTTTACGCGTTGCATCGCGCCGCGTAAACATAAAACCATGTCTGTATTTGTGATCGGAGAAATGACAAATAACAAGCGCTACTCTACACTGCTCAAAACTCGCATAGGATCAGGAAACAGTCCTCCATAAAATGCTCTGCACACATCTGAATATTTGGGTTGAAGTGTTCTGGAACAGTGTTGTAAATACAACTTAACCACTGATTTCTAGTCGTGTCCTCTTTTGGAAGACCAAACAAAGTATTATCACTTTCGCAACGAAACACACAGCGTCTTCACAACATGGCGGTGGCGGTAGCAGCAATACTACAGTGAGAATCAAAGTTACGCCTTCTTTCTTAGCGTGAACATTTGGGCGGTGTTATGCAAATCTTCCCACACAGTGACATAGACATGTGGGGGCATGTTTGAATGAGGCATTTTAGGAGGGTGTGGACGAGTCTTAACTTTTATAAAGAATATCTCTTTGGGTTTGAGACTTTAGTCTTTGCAACTTTAGGGATCTTATCTATTCACGAGCAGCTTGTAACACTCCAAAGAGAAAGGAAAACTTGAAATCGCATCATATGACCCCTTTAATCAACAATTACTTTACAGAGAGCTTCTTAATCTACTTGAGGTAACCAAATTGATAGTAGTTGCAAGCTAAGTAGTCCCTCTGTGAACTTTACATCCCATTTTAAGTAAGGCCTCCAGAATGGCAGGTGAAACCCAATCCTGACTGCTGTATGGCTCAGGTCAAGTCAGATTTTTTTTTTTTTCACCTGTTTTGTGTTTTATCACCAAACTATTTAACTATTGCACTTCTTCATATGTGACAGTTTTTATCCTAATGGTTACCCTGTTGTTTTTGTAGATAGTACTGTTGATGGACTTCCCAACTACGAAGTTGTTCATCCCGTCAGAGTGGATTCATCAGGACATTTTTTGTCCAATCTTGTGTCCCACCGCATGAGTCGAATTCAAAGGAGAGAGACAGTAAAAAACAAAGAGAGCCTGGCCCAGGTTTTTTACCATCTACAGTATGGTGGTCAAGACCTGCACTTTAACCTCACCCTAAACCCTCATCTACTAGCGCCTGGATTCCTCACAGAGTGGAGATACGGTGGTCTGCAAGGGTCTACATTACATAGCCATGGCCACTCTCTCTGCTACTTCCTGGGAGATGTCTGGAGCAGTACACTGAAGTGGGGTCAAGCAGCTCTGAGCACTTGCAATGGCCTGGTGAGTTTGTATTTTGTTCCCATGTGTTCCCAATTATGTAAAATATGGAAATATTTTATCAAATATTATAAAATAATACATTATTTAATAATAGTTCTTGACACTGAACAACATCCTTGTCTATTTATACTGTAATTTACCATATATTTAAGGGGTAGGAAGGAATTTGCTTGAATTCACAGAGCCTGTGGCATTCTTGTTTTTTGGTGGACTCCCAATGAGTAATCTATAGGCTACCGTAGAGGACCTTAGTGACCCCTTCATAACAGGGCCTGGGCAACATTCCCAGAAATCTCCCATGACGACAGACTTGGGAATAGGTTAGAGGTTAGAGTAAGGGTTAAGGCTATCATTGTTTGGAAGAGACATTGTTTCAGGCCAAACAAAGGATGTTGATACAGGTGATCCATGTAATCCAGAAAAATGTCCTACTTGGGTAAATTGCATCATGTCACTTACACAAACAGCTTACCCTCTCTTTTTTACATAAATAGAGAGCTAACTGATTTAGGGTCATTGGCACAACACTTGTTTTCTGTCATGGTCAATTTATTTATTTTAAATTGTATTTATTTTAAAATACATAAATTCATTTCTTGTATAATAAGTATGTAATTTCTGGATTAAATTAATAAATTATGATGGAGAGGTGGGTTTGATTTTGACATTGTTGAGGACATAGTAAACCCCGACCACACCTTGATATATGTTTTACCAGTATTTCATGTAATCTAAAAAGCCTTTACTTACAGATAAATAGCCAAAACACTCACAAAGGGAGTTTATGTCAGTATGTTCCTCAGACAATAATTGCACATTATTAGAATTTCAGTCCTGTACTTCATGATATTTGCTCATAAAGATACTATACATCACTTAAATTTAAATTTAAAAATGATTCACTTCCGTGACGAACACAACTTTCACAAGCATCTGATTAACAGATGAACAACACGCTGTTATTTTGCTATTGTTCATTTTGTGGATATTTCAGCGAACAGTTTGCTTTATACAATCTATAAACAAGTATTACGCAAAACACTCACGTGCAGCCGTCTGTCTCTTCTGTTGACTAATCGCTTTGATTTAAAAATGGTAAACTTTATTCAGCTGAACTGTGCACAATGCAGTTTAAACTCTTATGTTATATTCTTGCTCTGTTCATGCAATAATCAACATCCTGTAATAAGAAGGGTTTTCCAGCATATTTACTTTAACTTCTCAGGTGCCGCCAAGTCTTATTAACCTTATATCAAGACTTATTTAGGGGGGTCGATAGCAGGGAATCAGATCTGGGCCAGGGCACTCTTGAAACAGAGATTGTTAATCTTAATGAGACAGTCCTGGTTAAATAAAGGTAAAAAAAAAAACAAAAAAAAAAACACAAGCCACTGACGGACAACAGTCAATATAAGAATATATTTTAATTGTTTTATCAAAATTATTGCAAGGGAGAATTCAGTAGTCTCTGGATATTGATGGGACATGCTCCTAGCCTCCCTTCTAAAATCTACGGCCCTGAGGGATGAGAGGGTGGCTGTTGCAGAAAGTAAAAAAATGTCAAGGTGATGCAACTTTCCTGATTATGAAGGTATTTATGATATGAATAATGGTATTTATGAATTAATAATTCATGATATTTAAAAAAAATAAATTTTTACCATGAAATTATTATTTAAAAACCTTATTAAAAATAATTGTAAAATATTTTTTTGTAGTTGATCACTGACACTTTGACAGCAAATAATACACAATGTTTTACATTAAAGTTGTACCTTTCTGAATAAAAATCTGTTTAATATTTAGGTGTTGTAATAATAAGTAGTAGGTGCCCTGTGGCAAAACATACAGCTGCAGTGAAATGAGACAGTGAATGTGGATTGCATGGGTATAAGCTGTTTAATTTTGTGTCACGTTACTTTGACCTTGTATTCTCTCTAGACAGGGCTGTTCAAGCTCTCAGAAGAGGAATTCTTCATTAGTCCGCTGGAGTCGGCACAAGAAGATTCGGCCCCTCGCGCTCATGCAATCTATAAGCGACATGCTGTCCAATCAGAACACCAGCTGGTGCAGCCTCTGTTTGGGGAGCACACAGCTAACGCAACCTGTGGGGTCAGAGGTAAGACTTTTGGGGCGTAGGACTCAATGGGGCTAAATAATTTATGAACAGATGTCTTTCATGATTAAAGCACATCATTCACTTATGATCCAAGGTCATTTTTAATCATCTTTAGATCCTTTAGAAGGGGCAAAGCAGGTGGAGAGGCAAAGAGAGCGCTGGGAGAGACGTCAACATCGCAGACGGATCAGACAGCGCTCCATAAGCACTGAGAAGTGGGTAGAGACTCTGGTTGTGGCTGATCCTAAAATGGTGGAGTACCATGGGCGCAAAGGAGTTGTGAGCTATGTGCTCTCTGTCATGAATATTGTGAGTAACAGTCCTATCTTTAAACAATTCATGTTGTTTTCCAAGCGCAAGCGGCACTATTACTGTTGCTCGTACAATTACTAAAACCTTAAAGAGATCACTGTCCTGTCATGATTTACTTACCCTCTTGTCATTCCAAACCTATGTCTCAGCATTTTTTGTTCATAGGCTGAAAGTCAGTGTGGTTCAGTGTTGTTTTGGAACCCACCGACATTCATTATATGAACAAAAACAATAAACAAAAGCAAAACTGCTTATTTTAAGTTTCACAAATAATTAAGGTGATTCAATTAATTAAAATCTTTTGGAAGAACTGTCCCTTTAACACTTAAATGTGTTTAAGACTAAAACTATGGAGACCTGTTTCTGCCACAAAATAAAAAAAAGGTAATTGCAAATTTTTATCTCACAATTTGGACTTTGCTTTTGTCAGAAATATGAGATGTAAACTCAGAACTGTGAGAAAAAAGTCAGAATTCTGAGTTTACATATTGCCATTTTTTTAATGCCATAAAATAAAAAACGTTATTGCAACTTTTTATCTCACAATTTGGACTTTTCTCACAATTCTGAGAAAAAAAATCAGGACTGCAATTTGCAACATATATACTCCTAACTACTAGATAACTGTAGACTTGCGAGAAAAATGTCAGAATTCTGGTTTACATCTCGTAATTCTGTTTTTTTTTTCACCATGGAACAAAAAATTTTATTGCAACTTTTTATCTCACAATTCTGAATTTGTAAATTCAGGAATTATTTATTTTTTGATTATTTATTTTAGGAATTATTTATTGTTTTATTACCAAGTTCTTTAGCACAGATGAATATGATGGTTTGCACAGTTTTTTTTAATGTACTTGTCAATAATAGTTTTTTGTTAATTTTTAACCAAAAAAAAAAACTTCTATACTGCAACGTGTGTACATTAATGTTGAAAAAAAATTAACTTAAATGATTTTAGCAAATGGCTGCAATATAACAAAGAGTGAAAAATTTAAGGGGGTCTGAATACTTTCCGTACCCACTGTATCTCATCCTGTGACACTTTGTGCTATGGTGTTCTATTACATTTCAAAGTGAACTGATTTATGAATTTCATCTGGAGAATGATTAGGTAGATGAAAATTGTCAATTGTCTTCCCTCTTAGTCTCCACCTTGTCAGGAACACCCGAAGAAAGAATTCCAAAAGTTTTCAAATCTGCATTTTTCTTTTTTCATTCTTAACTCTGATGTGTTGTTTCAAACTATCCTCATTTCATCCCTTCAGCTTTCTCCTCACTGACTCTTTTCTTCTCAAATAGCTACAGTGTGCCTTCAGGCAGCACTCATTCTGCTAGTTGCTCCTGAGCTGGATCCAAGTCAGCTGACCGTGTTACCGATTCAGTCTGTTAGGTACATTTTCCAAAATATACTCTGAATGCTTTGTCTGGCTTCTGTTTTTGAGGAGGGAAAAGCCTTCAGGGAAAAACGTTTTCCATTCCAGACACTTGGTTGGTATTGAAGTATATTCTGTAAAGGGGAAACATTCCATTATCCTCAGTTTCCTGCCAGGCAGCTTCTCTTGTAGGTCTATCCTGCTACTTACAACATGAGTTGGCAGGAGTTTAGGTCTGGCTATACAGACTGCAGTGTTTTACAATTTTCAAAGTGAGGAAAACAGCTACAGTAAGTAAAAGAGGCAGTTGTATAAATGATTTAGACACAAAGCCTGTTTAACTATGTTTAGCTCTGTTCCACATTTTAGTAAGCTACCTTGCTGTCTACTGCTGACAGGAATATTCTAAAAATGCGGTCACATTTACCATTGCTCTGCAAATTTTCTTGGGTGAAATCTAGTCATTTCAATCGATGTGAATGGATATTTCATGTGGGGGCGAAACATTTCTCTTCAGAGATTAAAGCTAAACACATGGATTTGAATTTTTATTTTTACTTATTTATTTGTTATTTTTTTGTATTATCTTGGGAAAAATTGGTAGAAAGTGGTCCAACATGTTAATTTGAAGTGATTTTTCAAAAAGAAAAACAGAGAAAAAAAATAGGCAATGACAGTGTACTCCATTAATTTACTTTAAATACTACAGCATAGCCTCTTGTTTGCAGTTAAAGAATCAGTAGAGAGGAAGAATTATTGGGACTTCAGGCACAATTACATTACAGTGACAATTACAGAATTACAACTAGAGGTTTACATTTTCTGAGCATAATAGGATTTGTTAGGCAATTCCCAAGATGTTCTGAGTGGTTGTTATTACACTGCTATGCAATTGCTTGGGTGTTCTGGTAGTTGGCAAGCAATTCCTAATTGGGTGCTAGGGTGTTCTGGGTGGTTACTACATGGTTGCTTACTGGTCCAAGTCAAAAGGGCCCACCCCCAAGTCTCTGTGATATTCTGGTCTCTAGATATGGCTTGGGTCTCTTCATTACATGTAAATCCTAAAATTAACTTGTTAATGTATTTTATCTGTCATGCAAAAATTGCTAGCCAGATTGCTTAAAAAAGTAAAAGCACACCTCTGCTTAACAAGCCACATAATATTAGATTTCATTCATGTCTGTAGCTCAGCAAGGATGAGTTATGCCCAGAAATTCACTAATTAATTGCAGTGGCTAATGATCACACGTTTTTTATTCGTTTGCTTGACATCTCTAACCTTGCTAAATATATTTGCCAACATTTTCCATGTAAGGTTGATCACTATAGGGAACTGTAACATTAGTACCTGCAACCCGAAAAATCAAGGCATTATAATAACGTTAACCAGACATTGAGTGTGCCTTAGACTCGTCAAAGATCAGATTCATTTTAGCAGAAGTTGCTTCACCTCAAAAAGACAGAACGGCCTCAAATGTGCCTCATTAATTCACTGGAACAATTTGTAATGAGCACCACAGAATCATAGAAAATGCCTCATCATATTTCAGACCACATTTACCTCAAGGAGAGCTTTGATATGAGAGCAGAACTTGTAAGCATCTCACCAACAGAAAACTCCTTAGTTCAATATCAGTATGTCAGTCATATCAAGTGTTCTTGGGTTCTTTCTGTGACTTATTTTGGTTACTGCTCTGCATAGGAACTCCTAGACCCTATTTAGGGGGGCTTCAGTTCCCTTGTCTTTCATCTAAGCTCCTGTAAAGATCTGCGATTCACAGCCGAGTAAAAAACAGCTGAAAACAGCGGCTGCAGTAAGCTATCTGAGGTTACTTCACTCGAAATCCTCCCCATACCACTCATTAAAAACGCTACAACATTAAGTATTATCATTCCCTCTAGTCAGTGGCCAGATCATAGGCAACATAAGGCTCCGCACACAGCTGTCACAGATACACTATCCATTTCTAGAGCGTTCATCCAAATGCTCTCCATTCCAGGGGACTCAAAACAAACTACCATTACTGGCTATTTTAACAAAGATTTTGACCTAGAATGTTTAAATTACTGCAGTATAACAGTTGTGATGTTAGATTAGCTTCAAATCTAGATGACGTTTTAGATAATACTTGATTTATTTACAATTTCAGATGTGAGAATGCTGTGTTTTATAGGTGGCAGGGTTATTTCGGGATGCCAGCATTGGAAATGCCATCAACATCGCTGTCGTGCGTCTCATTCTGCTGGAAAAAGACGAGGTAAGTGAAATGACAAAGCAGTCATGCAAACCCTTGCTCTAAAAATACATGGCAGACATTATGAGTCAACATCGTTGCTGCAAAACAGACCAGGTGCACTATGACCACGTACGCACTGCAATGTTTTGGAGGTGACGGCTGCATTTAAATGTGGGAATGAATCACCTAATTCAGGGGTCTGCAACCATTTTTGATTTATGTTGGTGATCACTGTTCCTTACTTTTTACTTTGGTGGCTTAATCTGAGGAATATTCCCCATATGTGTCACCACATGGGTTTCTGAAGAGAAAAAGAAAAAAAAATACTGTCAAAAAAGCATATTTTAAACTTGGTACACTCTCAGAAATAAAGGTATAACAGCTGTCACTGGGGCGGTACCTTTTCAAAAGGTAAATATTTGTACCTAAAGGCTCCATTTTGGTACCTTAAAGGTACATATTAGTACCTAATAGGTACAAAAGTGTACCTTTTGAAAAGGTACCGCCCCAGTGACAGCTGTTGTACCTTTATTTCTGAGAGTGTTTATTGGTGGTAAATTAAGTTGCAGCTGGTAGAAAACAAATCACAGAAGATGCAGTCTTTATTAAGTGTATTTGATTTGAATCATGCACATCACATTATCATTTTTACAATGTGGCTGAAATTTCAACTTAAATGTAATGATTTTTTACTGGAATGTTGACTTCCATTTGCTGCTTGGTGAGTTAGGGCTTGGTGATAAAAAATACAATTAAATCAAATTCTAATAATTTTACAAAAAAAAAAATTATTATTATTATTACTATTAAAGCAGCAATACTGTGCAGTTAAATAATATTCCTCACTCTCTCATGCCAGTATCTAACCCATTTACATACACGTCTTAGGTTGCTCATGAAATTTGTTTATTGGCATAGTGATAACCATAGCAATTGTTTGGATTTATGACTGCAAACAATAAACATGAATAAGAACAGTTTATGTCATTAGGTGTTAGTTTCTTATGCCTGAAGTAATTTTAATATTAACCACTGGACAACACTGGTGAGAACACTGAACCACTGGTGAGAGCAACTCAGTAAAGAAATACAGACTTGGAAAAACTGTCAAGACATCATTGTGATTTGCTTCCTCCACATCTGGAGAACAGAGACACACGTTTGATATGCTTTTAAATGCATCAACAACTAGTTGTTCAGTTTGTTTGTTTCAGACTTTGAGTAAATATGGTTGTCATTCCTGTAAATAACCAAATTCTGTGTGTGCAAAGTTAAAAAAGAAGAAGAGTGACAACAGTAATTTAGCTGTTTAGTGTGAATCTGGTTGCAAGAATTTTATCAAAGGATGTCATTTGGGGTATTAACTTAAACCCCCTTAACACTTTCAGGTACAGAGACAGAATTTATTTCATACATTCACTTATTTTGCCATGAATTAATAATGCAAAATTAACGTGCAAATTAACATGGATTTATTATGTTTAAATCCCAAAGTCTGGGGCCAGGGGTCATTTTTTAGGTGTTTTCTCATAGTGATTTATGCATTAAAGCAGAACTTCTCAACTCTGGCCCTCAAGGTCCACTTTCCTGCAGAGTTTAGCTCTAACCTTGATCAAACTCACCTGCCTGTTGCTTTCTAGTAATCCTGAAGACCTATTAGCTTGTTCAGGTGTGTTTGATTACGGTTGGAGCTAAACTCTGTTGGAAGGTGGGCCTTGAGGGCCAGAGTTGGGAACCTCTGCAGGATAGTTCAGCCAAAAATGAAAATTCTGTCATCAATTACTTACCCTCATGTAAACACTGAATCATTGGACTATTGGTAATAACAGAACTTGAAACAATAGTTTTGCTATCAGTGCTTTTGGGAAAAGTACCCAAGATTGGTTTGAAATGCCATGTGCTCAAATATGCCTCCTTAAAATAAGCACACGTTTATTCATTTATAAACAGGGTTAGCTGAGGATGTAAATTCCACAAATCACCAAATATGGAAAGCTCTTTGCCAATTGATCTTTATTTTTTGCCATTGTGGTTACAGTGTGTAACCACCACACTTTATTTATATGCATTTATTTATTTATAGTGTTTACCACCATCTAAAAGTTCATGCATTTTAGAGTTGTATCATTACTTTTATAAATTCACATTCCTCAACATGATACCTTCAATAAAAGCTCCAATAAAGCAATTTTTGGGACCCTTTCAAGTTTAATATTAAAATGGTAATTCTTCTTTAGACTCAACAATTATATGTCATACTTCATACATACGAACTTTACATAAAATGGGAAAATTGTAATATTGTATGTATTTAATTCTTTCATCTGTTATTAGGAGGATTTGAAAATCACCCATCATGCAGACAACAGCCTGAACAGCTTCTGTAAGTGGCAGAAAGGCATCAATATGAAGGATGATGATCATCCAGTCCATCATGATGTGGCTGTCCTCATTACTAGGTACAAATGGCCTAATTGTAACCAAAATTACATTGCTTTAAATATATATAACCCATGTGTTAACCCTTTTCTATGACACAGAAAAGACATTTGTGCTGCCATCAATAAGCCTTGTGAGACATTGGGACTGTCTCATGTGGCTGGAATGTGCCAACCTCATCGCAGCTGCAGCATCAATGAAGATACAGGCCTGCCCCTCGCATTTACAATCGCACATGAGCTCGGCCACAAGTAAGTCCTATAACATAGATTAAATATACCGTAGAGCCAGTCTTGGTTTTAAAATGTTTCAGATTATTATAAGTTAGCTATTACTTACATTATTGATGGAATTGCCATTAGGGATGTCCCGATCAGGTTTTTTTGCCCTATTGTGTCGGGTGTTTGTTTTTGAGGTGCCGTATCAGGTTTGTTGTGTTAAATGTAGCCTTTTCCTTTCCACCTCTTGCAATCCCAAGTTTACATATCTCACAGTTTGCTATGGCAATGTTGTTGTCATCAACTTTATAATACCTCCAGACCGCAGACATACTCGCGCTTTCCGCTTCAAGCTGCTTCCGTGTTCTACTTTGCCGGCATTTAACCAATAGCGTCTCTGCAACAAACTGATGTCATGCCGCACGCGTTGCTGTTTCTGTGTGGAGTCAAAAGGGTCTAACTCTGTGCCACCGCATAACTATAGATGTGTTAAAAAATAATGAGAATATATATACATATATATCCGAGTCCTGATCGGGAGGTAACGTCCGATTCCGATCGAGTCTGAAACCACGTGATCGGGCCCAATTTCCGATCACGTGATCGGATCTGGACATCCCTAATTGCCATGTATAGATTTTTAAAGATTATTGATGGAATTTTCATATACCTTTAGATTAAACGTTTTTTAAGACCACAAGAAGCAAAAATGGACTTAAGTGTCCAAACATTTGGCTGTTGTGTACACATTTCGATCACATTTTACTTGGGGACAAGTTCTCAGTAGTAACTAACTTTTAACTATGACTTTTGCCTCAATAAACTCCTAATTTGCTGCTTATTAATAGTAAGGTAGTTGTTAAGTTTAGGTATGGGGTAAGACTAAGAGATCTAAAATATTGTCATGCAAAATAACGCATTAATATGTGCTTTATAAGTACTAAGAAACAGACAATATGCCAGGATTATGCATGCTAATAAGCAGCTAGTTAATAGTGAGAATTGGTCCTTAAAATAAAGTGTTATCCACATTTCTAGACCACTCCTGCCTTCCTCAAATTTGGTAAAGAAGAAAGGCCCTGTGACATTCTGTTATGAGACGAGAGACATATCCGCTAAACAGGGATAAACGCAAAACAATACACAAGACTAAAACAGAAAACACGGAATGGCTCGGTAAGGCAGCTAACACTTGGGGAGTGAAAAATGCAGAACAATACTCGGCGACTAGAGCAGGATCAGGGTAGGTGTTATATAGTGTGTGTAATAGCATTCAGGTGAGCGTGTAATTGGTTTCAGGTGTGAGTGTAATCAGTGCAATGGAACATGGGGATTTATATAGTGTGTGTTATTGGTAGCAGCTGTGTGTGATTGGTTTCAGGTGAGCTTGTGATTAGTGCAATGGAGTATGGGAAATGTAGTCCAGGGTGATGTGTAACAGTCTGTGTGGTGCGAGAGTCAATATCATGGAAGAGCGACCTCTGGTGGCAAGTGGATGGAAATTCATGGATCGGATTTGTGACATAGCCCCGCCCCCCAAGGAGCAACTTCCAGACGCTCCTAACTCATAATTCAGGAGGGTGGTGAAGCGGAGGCAGAACAGGGGGAGGGACGGAGGGCCAGGTCCACGTGGAAGTGGAGAGACCGGGGACTGAGGCAGAGTAGGCGCGGAGGCGGAACAGGGGGAGGGATGGAGGGCCAGGTCCACGTGGAAGTGGAGAGACCGGGGACTGAGGCAGAGTAGGCAGAGCGGAGAACCAGGGTGGAGCCGGCAGAGCAGGTGGAGTTGAGAACCACCAGAGCAGGACAGGAGACCACCAGGCCGAAGCAGACAGACAGAAGACCACCACGACGGAGCAGACTGGACAGAAGCCCACCAGGGCAGAGCAGACGTGACAGAAGCCCACCAGGGCGGAGCAGAAGACCTCTACGACGGAGCAGACAGAGCAGGAACCCACCAGGGTGGAGCAGACGGGACAGAAGACCGGCAGAGCATAGCCAGAGACCAACACAACAGAGCAGATGGAGCATTGGCCCACCAGAGCGTGTCGGCAGACCACCACAGCGGACCAGAGTGATCAGGAACCCATGGCAGGGACTGAGGCCTAGGGAAAACTGAAACATAGGAGATAGACAGTGCATTTACGGTCTCAAGGACTGAGGCAGGAAATACAGTGGGCTTATTTCTGGTCTCTTTAGGCATGGCTGTCAGTGCTAAAAGTTCAGTGTAGGTCTCCTGGAGAATGGCTGGACAGACAGACAGTTCATAATTAGACTTAAGAGCAGATTCGAGACAGACAGACGGTTCAAAGTTAAATTCATTAGTCGAAACAGGATAGACAGATAGATCAAAAATCAGATTCAACGGCAGCATTGACACAAACAGACAGTTCACACTCAGCCTCCATGGTTGGTTCAAACCAGAAAGTGAGTTCACAAACGGCCTCCATAGCCGTGGCCTCCATAGCCGTGACAGGACAGGCAAAGAGCTCACAAACGGCCTCCATAGCCATGACAGGATGGGAAGTGAGTTCACAGACGGCCTCCACAGCCGTGACAGAACAAGCAGAGAGTTTGCAAATGGCCTCTATAGCCGTGACATGACGGGCAGTGAGTTCACAGACGGCCTCCATAGCCATGACAGGACAGGCAGAGAGTTCACAAACGGCCTCCATAGCCGTGAC